AACAAATATAAATAACAGCAAATATAAATAACCACATGGCAGCCCAGCCTGGCTGAGCCCAAGGGTGAGGGGTCTGTCCCCACACATCAGTGAAGGCAGAAAATACCTTGAATTTAGCCCTGAGCTCAAGTGCCAGACAAGAATTTATCAGTGCTGAGCACCTCAAGCTGTATTTGGGGTGAGAATGGACAGACCCAGCTGCCAGAGGGGAAAGAGAAGGAGCAATGGCCAAGGGCACTGGCAAAGAGAGGAGCAGAGATGTCACAGATGCACTGGAGAATGACAAGGGTGACAAGATGAACCAAGGATGTGGCACTGTGGCTGACTGTGGATCAAACAGCTGAGCCTGCACCTCATCCAAGTGCAAATTCAACAGGAATTGGGTTTGGATTGCTGGAATCCAGAGTTTGATCACCTGGCAATGACACAGAGATGTCACTGCTGCATTCAAGAGGAGTTGGGTTTGGATTGCTGGGATCCAGTGCTTGGTCACCTGGCACTGGTGACACAGAGATGTCACTGCTGCATTCAAGAGTTGGGTTTGGATTGCTGGGATCCAGTGTTTGATCACCTGGCAGTGGTGACACAGAGATGTCACTGCTGCATTCAAGGGTTTGGATTGCTGGGATCCAGAGTTTGATCACCTGGCAGTGGTGACACAGAGATGTCACTGCTGCATTCAAGAGTTTGGATTGCTGGGATGCAGAGTTTGATCACCTGGCAGTGAGTGGTGACACAGAGATGTCACTGCTGCATTCAAGGGTTTGGATTGCTGGGATCCAGTGTCTGATCACCTGGCACTGGTGACACAGAGATGTCACTGCTGCATTCAAGAGTTTGGATTGCTGGGATGCAGTGTTTGATCAGCAGCAGTGGTGACACAGAGATGTCACTGCTGCATTCAAGAGTTTGGATTGCTGGGATCCAGAGTTTGATCACCTGGCAGTGGTGACACAGAGATGTCACTGCTGCATTCAAGGGTTTGGATTGCTGGGATGCAGTGTTTGGTCACCTGGCAGTGGTGACACGGAGATGTCACTGCTGCATTCAAGGGTTTGGAATGCTGGGATGCAGTGTTTGATCACCTGGCACTGGTGACACAGAGATGTCACTGCTGCAGTGACTCCAAGGGGCAGCAGGTGAGGGCTCAGGGGTCACACAGGACCTGGGGCTGCTCCCTCAGCTCTGGGAAGCTGGGCCAGGTTCCAGAGAGGAGCAGCAGATGCAGGACTGCGAGGGTGGAAGTGTTTTGAGGAGAAATCTGAGGGAAAGGATGAATGAAACAGGAGCTTGCACCATCATTCCCAAACTGCCTGAAACTCAGAATTCCCAGTTACAGATGAAGGTACCTCAGACAGAGCAAAGCACAAACCCTAAATCAATTAAAAACCATTTAATTGAGCACATTTGGGAAACCTGAGAATACAAACAACAGACAGCAGGAATACTTGGCACCAGGAGCCTGCAGAGAATGCAGCACTCTGGGTGAGCTGTGCAGGAAACATTCCTGGCCTGCCATCAATGCCAGTCTAAGGAATTACACTTGAAATGAAAATGGGAATTGGTTTGGAATGAAGAAAAGAGAAGCATAAGCATCCCTAATGTTGGCACAGAAGTTTTGTGTTCATGGGAGGGAACTTCAAGGCAAGAAGCATCGACTGTCACCTCGCTCCCCTCCCTCAAACTGGGATGAAAGTGCCAAAGAATGAAATCACTGCAGCTCTAAATGGATTTTCCAGAAGTCATCAGCCTCAGACTGGATCCTCCAGTCACAATTCCTCAGAGCAAGTTTGGACTCACCTTGGATAAGGAACAAACCCTTCAGAGCACACAGAAGAGACAGGATGGCAGAGGGTGTTTTATGTTGGTGAAAAGCATTTGCTGTTAGATCTGAGCCTGGAGTTTCTGCCATGTCCCACAGCTCAAACAGTATTTAAATAATGTATCTCCAGCTCATATATTATTAATAATTTGATGTATTTCCTTTTTAACAGGAATGAAGCCAAGATTAAAGGCAGTGTGATCAGAAGGCAGATGAAGAAGCGCTGAAAATTTGCTGCCTTTGAAAGGACCAAGATTTTGTGAAGCATTTTACAACCCTTCACAGAGAAAAAGGGATTGGAATGCAGCCTGTGGCTGGAAGCATGTTGATTTGCAGAAATGTGCCTCTCAGAAGCCTCTTTAAATCCAGTTTAAACACTTCTTTCCACCCTCATCCCTTCTCTCTATTTCTTGGAGCACTGAAGTGCTTTGTAAGACATGGTAAGGAAGAAAATGAGACTTGTACTGCTCTGCTTTTGCAAGAAGTTTTGCCATTGACACCCAGGCCATGATTTCAACTATTTTTAACTCTTGCAAGGTTAGGCTTAAAAAAAAAAAATGGAGAAGAAAATATCCAAATTCAGAAAAAAAAAAAATAGAAAAAAAATCCCTCAACAGATGTACAATGAACCATTCCAAAGTGGCTTCCAGAGACACAGCCCCCCTGGAATGACAGCTCAGGAGAGAAGCTGACAAGTGCTTAGCAGTTCAAAATCCATGAAGAAAAACCAGATGAAAATGTTAAGATAAAGACATGCATGAAGAGCTTACCTGAAGCAGAATTTGGGTCAGGTACTCCTCAAGACTGAGCTACACATAAAATATCACATGGGCATCATCCAACTTCAACAGGAGCTCCCAGAGTTAAAGCCAGATCCCATCACCAAGATCAGCACTACTTTTTGGGGTTTTTTGGACAGAAAAGAATCAATGGCTTCAAGGGAGATGCACAGAATTCTTCTTCATTTCTGGAATTTTCCTCCTAACTGAAGCAGCTTTAGGGACTTCTTAAGGACACGTTTTCCACCCTCCCCTCAATTTTATAACCTCGTGGAGCTAAGGAGCTAAAACTGGAATCCTGTCTGAAGTTAGGGAGGACAAATTAAGAGAGGAGGTAAAAAATGTCAGGAGCAGAGTAGGAGGCCAAGATTGCAGGGTAAGTGCAGGCTGCCTAGAAATCCTAATTAAAAATACCCCCCCATCTGTGAAAATCAGCTTTAATGTGAGGGTCACAGACACAGCAGTGCTGAGCAAAGGAAAGGAATCAGCCATGGAGTTACTCACATTGCTAAAGAACCCAGGAGCAATTCCTGCAGAATTCTGGCCAAATTTCCACTTGAGCAGCTCCTATCCCTGGGCACAACATCAACTGCTGATGAAGATTTAAACTGAGTTTAAATTTAAACTGTTTAGCAAGTTTCACTCTTGACTAGTTCTGCCTTCACTTGAAGGCAAAGCTCACCAGCAGTTTTGCTCTATTTTTGTTTCAGCTTTAAGGTCATCACCACAGAATTAGAATTAAGTCCTCAAACCTCTTCAGAGAGTTGTAAGGGGCAAATAATAATAAGGACAAATAATCCTATTGTGGGAAAGGTGGGTTACAAATGCAAATACAAGGTGGTGGATGAGAACTACAGACCATGGCTGTGCCTTCCTCAAACCAGGAGCAGAATTCTCTATTGTTGTCCTAGAAATAACACAGGAATGTTTCAAAAAACAACATTCAGAACATTATTAAATGGTTTTGGGGCAGTCCTTGATTGGGGCTCAGGGAATTGAAATGCTACATACAAGGTGGTGGATGAGAACTACAGACCATGGCTGTGCCTTGCTCAAATTACAGGCAGAATTCTCTATTGCTGTCCTAGAAATAACAGAGGAATGTTTTAAAAAGCAACATTCAGAACATTGTTAAATGGTTTTGGGGCAGTCCTCAACTAGGGCTCAGGGAATTGAAATGCTACATTCTAAAAACTCAATGGGAGATGCTGATACTTATTTTAACTCTAAGTTTTAACTGCCACATCTTAAAAGGCTTTGAAGTGCTTCCATTTCAGATCTACTGTAACCACCTACTCAACTGAATCTGTATTCCTGGCTCCATTAATCCCCTATTCCTGTGCTGCTGAAATTCAACATATGCCTTCAAGGTATGAGAGGCTGTGCTCTGTATCTCCCTAATTAACTGCAATGAAGGTGCTTTTCATCTCTGCAGAGTGGCTTTTTAATTGTTGTTCCCCTTCCTCACAAGTGAACAGCAGAGGCTCAGTGACCTCTCCTCTCTAACCTTGCTCTGAGTGAGGTGCAGCAGCTCAGTTTTGGCTGCTGAAGCTGGGGGTTGTTTATTTGGGCAGAGGATGCTCCCTCACAGCTTTCTGAAGCTGGGGGTTGTTTATTTGGGCAGAGGATGCTCCCTCACAGCTTTCTGAAGCTGGGGGTTGTTTATTTGGGCAGAGGATGCTCCCTCACAGCCACAGTGTCCCTGAGCAAGGAGAGCACTCAGGCCTCAGGTGTCTCCTCACTGGAACATGGGAACAAGCAGAGAGTGTTGGCAGCAAGACTCAAAATTTCCGAGCACAGATGCTGAAAGCAAGGCTGGGAAACAGAATAATCAGCTCAATCATATGGAACCACCCCTCCTTTGTACCCCCATCCCAAGCCCACAGGTAATTCCCATCCCCTCCCTGAAGTTATGCTCACCCAACAGAACTGAGAGCCCCTGGGACACAAAAATCTCGTGCACAAGTCGCTGATGAGAGCAGGTGTGGTTTTGGTTAAAATCTTTACCCTCAAAACCCACTTCTGGAAATGGAGTTACTTTCTGTGCTGCCAGTCTTCAGTCTGAAAAGCTTAAATCATCTGAGAATCAAAAAAGCAAAGTCACAGAGCTATTTGCTGTTGCCCTATTTCCCTTGCAGTGGCTTTTGTTTAAAGCTCCTTTATCCTGAGCAAGGTTTAACTGTTCCACTGCAAAGATATTTGGGGAACACAGCAAAGCATGGAGCAGAACCACAATGGTGCCTCCAAATCATGCTCAGAGGGGGGAACAGGCTGGCTTCCTGTTCTTTTGGTTTTTCTTTTCTTAACTACTGCCATATTCAGCACAGCAGCAGTGAAGAATTCAAAAAGGAAAGCTCAAGTCGTTGGTGCTTGTTAAAATTAATTCTCAGTTCAAGGGATTTTCTTTTAAGCAGTTCTTTTAATCAGGATATGGATATGGCATACCTCATTAAGATGGGTTTGCAAGATTTTCCTTTTCTCTATAGGCAGAGGGATAAAAAAAAAGAATCAAATAAACCAGCACATCACATGTGATATATTAAGACCACATCCTACATTTTGAACTTTAAAAAAAAAAGGATCCTTGTTGAAAAAAACATCTAGAATGAGTTCCCCAAGTTTTGTTTGTGGGTTTTCTTATTTAAAAAAATCAACTTTAAAGACAGGTACTTTAAAATAATGCAGCTGGGACATTTTTAGTAGTGTGCCTAGCCCTGATCACCTTTGCTCTCCAGGATTAAATGTTACTGGGCCCTCTTCTGTCCATTCTTTATAACCAACTACTGAGTTATTTTTCCTTGGTGCACAGAGCAAATCACATATCACAAAATCCTCAGTGAGAAGGGTGAGCTCTTTAATGAAAGGCATCCTCTCTCCCAGAGAAAGTATTCTGTAAGCCTTACCTGGCAGTTTGTCTGAGCTAAATACAACATTAAAGTCGAGGTGGTCGCTCTTCCCAATCCACACTCAGGACAGTCTTTGCACTGAGAAGGATCCACAGTGCAGGGGAGGCAATGGACAATCTGAGGGTACTGATGTGATCATTCAAGAGCTAAACATGGTAACACACTACAAAAGAGCATTTGGGATGTGTGTAACAATTTACAAGGGAGCATTAGAGGCCCACTGTTTTAAAAAAAAAACAAAAAAAAACCTCCTATAAACTTCAAATCATTTAAAGTTCGCCAGGCAAGCAACTCTAAGAGATTCTTAATGCCAACTAATGAATTACACCTTTCAAGGATGAAGCACAGTGGATTTTTTAAAGAGGCCATGCCACAGGGATACAGTTCTTTGTCTTTCCTAAGCAGATCATTGTACATCTGATCATATGTTGTTTTGAAGTCATAAACATTTGGCTTGTCCGGGGCTGGTCCTGGCAGTTTCACGTGAGTCCCTGTGCCAAAGGATCGGACGCTGAATCCTCGTTTGCTGAAAGACACAAGGGAGGGGAGGAGACAATGAGACTGCATGGACTTGGAGATTCAAATGCTGACAAATATTAGAGTGAATCTTAAAAACACCTCAGCCAGCAGCAGTTGAGCAACCAAGCTGCCTGGAGTTCCCCATGTGTATTTTCCTTGCAGTCACAATCTGAACTCACACACTGTTTCAAGGGAAGCGCCTCTGTTTGACAGGAATTTCCTTACAATTATGGTACAGAGCTATTTGTAAATGTCATTTCTGCTTTCCTTTTGTGCTTTCCTTTTGTGCTTTCCTTTTGTGCTTTCCTTTTGCATCCTGGATTTGCAACAAATCCCTTCAGTATTCATGACAACACAGACAAAGGTGGTTCTCTCTTGATACAAATAAATAACTGCACTACTGAGCAATACTTCAGTGTCCTGCTGAGACTCCTGGCCTAACTGCATTATTCTTCTCACTTTGTTGCCCAAAGTGTCATTTAATTAGCCCAGGACAGACATTTGTGTGCCTGCCCCTGAAAACCATGCAGTGCAATTACCTTTACACAAGTGCTCTCTGTAACTCTTGGCTAAAGCAGGGATTACTTCATTCCATTCTTATGAACAACTACTTGTTTATAATTTAAAAAGAGGCAGGAACCTGTTTGTCCTTAGGAGTAATGCCAAAATGTTCTTGCTGATTAACTGAGACACTCAAACCTCAAAACCTCCTTCAGTATTATTAAAAAACACAGCAATCTATGGAACAGTGGGACAAAAAAGAGATTTTCCTGGTGGTCTAATGGACAAAGTTACATGGTAAATTAAGTGTTGCTATCACCATTTGGGTCTGTAATGACAACATAGCTTGAAACAGCCAGACCAGGAGTTAATCTGGTTTTTAAGGACTCCCACTCCCAGCCTGAATGATTTTAGCAGAGCCTGAATGGAGTGAGCAATGCTGAAACACAAATCAAGTGAGCAGCCCCAGCCCCAGAATCAAGCCCAGACGTGCAGTGCTTTGCCCTGAGGGCAGTGAGCAGAGCTGGCCCCAGGCTCCCTGGCCTGCACATCCAGGCAAACTCAGCAGAAAACACCAACCCCAAACTGTCACTTTGCCTTCAGAGGTGTCCCCAAAGTGACCCCAAAGGCTTCAGGGCACAGACTGTGGTCACCTCCTGCCCCAGCCTCAGACACAACTCTGCAAGCACCAACACCTGATTTCCTGCAGGAACACAGCTCCTCCTTTCCCTCCTCTTGCTCCCCACATTTTTCCTCCAGCACCTATTTATAGGAGCCTGTTTCTGTACACAGACAAAATACACCAGGGGTTTTTGCTTCTTTCTGCAGGACTGAGAACGGATACAAGTGGAAAAAAGTGCAATTTTTCTGTCCCTCCCAGCCCTCCATCACATGTAACTGGTGCAGTTATGAGTCACTGTTCATTTATTTTGCCTGCAATACTTGCAGATTCAAGTTTTGATTCTGCTGCTTCTACTGGACGTGGAGAGAGACATAATATGTACAGAAGAAATTGCAGTGCTAAAAAATTCATGTTTCAATTTGATCTTTTCTTCTATGGTTTCATTTTCTTTCTCTTTGGAACAGACCTGCTTGGATCACACACATTAAAACCTCCACCTCTAATTGCTGTAGATGTCCCTGAAGTTTTTGCATGATCTCATATAAAACAAATCTGAATTCTTTGACATTCAACACATCAAAAATTTGTGCCTTGAAGGCCCATGACCCATTTAAAATTAAATTTAAATTACTTCCCTGAATAGCTGCAATTTGAGTTCCTCACATGGAATTTCATGTTTTGTACCTTGCTAGTGGTAGTGTCAATTTTTTCCACTATTTATGCCCCAGGTACAATAAAATGTTCTAAAAACATTTCTTGCAACAACTGGGGCACAGGAAAGGGAAAATGCCTGCAGAGAGCCATTCATTAGTCAGGAGCTTTTATGAAATATTATTCAGCTTTTATGAAATAGCTGGGCACACCCAGTGTAGGGAATCATCAGGTGTTTGTGGGAATGGGGCAAATCTGTAAAAATGAACAATTCCTACAAGAAAATGGCTTGGGTTTGACCTGGTGAAACTACCCAGAAATGGGAAAAAATGAGGAGTAGGACAGACAGACAGACTGTCCACATGAAGGTAGGACAGACACACAGACTGTCCAAATGAAGGCAGGACAGACTGACAGACTGTCCACATGAAGGGTAGGACAGACAGACAGACTGTCCAAATGAAGGTAGGACAGACACACAGACTGTCCACATGAAGGTAGGACAGACACACAGACTGTCCAAATGAAGGCAGGACAGACAGACAGACTGTCCAAATGAAGGTAGGACAGACAGACAGACTGTCCAAATGAAGGCAGGACAGACAGACAGACTGTCCACATGAAGGTAGGACAGACACACAGACTGTCCACATGAAGAGCAGGACAGACAGACAGACTGTCCAAATGAAGGTAGGACAGACAGACAGACTGTCCAAATGAAGGTAGGACAGACACACCTTTCTTTTATTTCACTGTTATTTGTGGATCTCACAAATTCTTATTAAATAGAATTTAATTAAATCTTCTTTTCAGTTGATTGTATGTTCCTTTCCACAATGCCTGCAGGAAATATTGCTAAATATCAAAGCAAATGTAATAAATCCTGCAGTGCCACTGCACTCAGAATGGTGAAGGATTTCAGGGCACAAATTATTAATTTTACCACATCCCTTTCCACAAGAGGTAGCAGGAAAATAACCAGCAACCCCTGTAGGTTACTTCAAAAATATCTTATGCCACCCAATCAATATTAAAAAAAAAAACCCCCCAAAAGAAGCCCACCCTGCTGAGCAGCAGGACTAAGGCACTGTTAACTCACTTTGAATACCAACAACTTGGAATTTGCATTATCTCAAATGAAAGTGTGCTTGAATATAAAAATGTGAAAATATCACCTTCTTGGGGAGGGGGGGTTATTAATTTGGGATTTCTTAAATTAGGCAATACAGATGTCAACAGCTCCCTGCATTTTGGTGCTGAGGAGAGGAGCTGGGAGTAACAACTTCTGGAAACAGCACAGGAGCAATTTAAGTTCTCTTACACCTCAATGTTGGACTGCAAGTCTTAACATCAATATGAAAACTACATTTTTGCCACAGAGGTTGCAATATTTTAATTTCTCTGCCATTAAGACCTCATGTTCATACTCTTGAATTTCCTGAAGGTTGGTTTTCTAAACCAAGGGATGTGTGGCAGAAGTGTGTATCAGCATTTTAGAACTTTTTATTGCCAGTATTGTGTCTTTTATAGTCTCTCTTGACACAGAGAACTTGAACTCAGTAACTTCCTTCCAAAGCCATCAGGGTACACCCAACCAAACAGAAATGTGGAAATTGCTGCATAAAAAAAGCTTGGCTGGGAGAGATTCACCCTTCTGCTTTCCTTCTTTGAGGGAGAACTGTGACCTGGGTCTGCATGCTCTATGACAAAATATAAAATATAAAATCACTGATAGATGGGGCTGGTGTTGGCTGGGGTAGAGTGAATTTCTGTCCCAGCAGCTGTGGTGTGGATTTGTGTTTGCAGAAATGTGGAAATTCTGCATAAAAAAAGCTTGGCTGGAAGGGATTCACCCTTCTGCCTTCTTCCTTTAAGGGAGAACTGTGACCTGGGTCTGCATGCTCTATGGCAAAATATACAATAAAATATAAAATCACTGATAGATGGGGCTGGTTCTGGCTGGGGTAGAGTGAATTTCTGTCCCAGCAGCTGCAGTGTGGATTTGTGTTTGCAGAAACGTGGAAATTCTGCATAAAAAAAGCTTGGCTGGAAGGGATTTACCCTTCTGCCTTCCTCCTTTGGGGGAGAACTGTGACCTGGGTCTGCATGCTCTATGACAAAATATAAAATTAAAAAGAGAAAATCATTGACAGACCAGGCTGGTTCTGGCTGGGGTAGAGTGAATTTCTGTCCAGCAGCTGCAGTGTGGATTTGTGCTTACAACTGAGGGATGTTTTTGTTATTGCTGAGCAGCCAGGCCTGCTCTGCTTCTCACCTCACCCTGCCCCAGCAGAGCCTGCAATCAAACAGTGCAGGGTGAGCCAGACCTGGCCCAGGGCGGGGTCCCCACAGCCACTCTGGCAGCTCCAAGGAGGGCCCGTGGCTTTCTGGCTGCTCTTCCTGCTCCCCTCGGCTTCCTCGGCCCTGTGGGGATGGCTCTTACTCCATCACAAACTCCTGACAGCCCTTCAGGCTGACTTGTGCTGCAAAATTGCAACAAAGTGTTTAAAACTTGGTTAATTACAAAATAGGCGAGCACACGCTGGACCCCAGGTTTTGTTTTCCAGCAGCACACAGAATTTGTGTTCTTTAAAGTCTTGGTCATCCACTAACAAAATACCTTAAAATTCTGTAATTCCTCAGCTTCTTTTGCTGGAAAATTGGAACAAAGTGTTTAAAACTTGGTTAATTACAAAATACTCAAGCACACGCTGAATGCTGGACCCCAGGTTTTGTTTTCCAGCAGCACACAGAATTTGTGTCCTTTAAAGTCTTGGTCATCCACTAACAAAATACCTTAAAATTCTGTAATTCCTCAGCTTCTTTTGCTGGAAAATTGGAACAAAGTGTTTAAAACTTGGTTAATTACAAAATACTCAAGCACAGGCTGAATGCTGGACCCCAGACTTTGTTTTCCAGCAGCACACAGAATTTGTGTCTTTTATAGTCTTGTTCATCCACTAACAAAATACATTAAAATTTCCTAATTCTTCAGCTTCTTCTGCTGGAAAACTAGAACAAAGTGTTTAAAACTTGGTTAGTTACAAAATACTCAAGCACAGGCTGAATGCTGGACCCCAGACTTTGTTTTCCAGCAGCACACAGAATCTGTGTTGTTTAAAGTGTTGTCATCCACTAACAAAAGACATTGAAATTTCGTCATTTCTCAGCTTCTTCCTGTTTTAATCATGTGTTCTTTCCAACTGCATTGCAACACGCTGCCCTGAAGGGGTGAGGCAGCCTGGCTGGGAGCCAACACAGACATTTTCCTCAAGTTTACTGCAAACGGGCTGTTATTTCCTTTGCTTTGCCATTTATGCTACTGCTGCTGCAACTACAAAAGATGTTAGTAAAATGAAACGTTTTCTAAATAATGTTTTTGTTACTTTTAAACTCAGATCTCCGGGGAGAACGGACTTTTAAAAACCACCCTGCCACGTTTGGGGAACATCAGTCCCACCGGAAGTGATTGATTTCTGCGAAAACACGGGGCAAGGAAAAGGCCAGACATCAGAAGTGAATTTAACTCTGTCCTTAACGCTCAGCTTTCAATTCCAACTCAGTTCCAGCATTTTTAGAGGAAAAACAATGTCCTGTTTTCACAGATAACATCCGATGCCAAGAGTGAGCGTGAAGTGCATGAAATGCTGTTACAGTAAGATGGCTGCCAGACCAAATGCTTTTATTATTTATTCCTTTCAAAGCTTTTATTTTTATTTACATGTAGCACACAGCTTACTCACAGTTGTTTTGCTTACTATGTCATCAACGTGTATTTCTAACGTGAATGTTTCTTTGCATAACTTTAATAATAAAATAAACATCCTTATCATGTTCCTGCCGTGCAAAGGGAAGATTCAGGGACACGATTTCAGGCAGATCAGGTCTCTCCTGTCCATCTGTCTGTCCCAAGTCTCCCACCTCACCTCTGCAGCCAAGCTGAGAGCACTGGAAGTGCTAAACAGATTAACACTCCTAATCTCAAAGACATTTAGCGCTCTGAACCGAATGTTCTGGTTCTCCTGTGAGAGGAAAGGGTTCCCTTTCAGGGCACAGAGTGACTCAGTTTTCACAGTGTTAAGGGGTGGGAATGGACCTTAAAACCCAACCCATGGGCAGGGACAACTTCCACCATCCCAGGATGCTCCAAGCCCCATCGAACCTTGCCTTGGACCCTCTACCAGGGATGGGTCAGCCACAATCTCCCTAGGCCAGCGTCTCACCACCCTAAAAAAATATTTTTCCTAACATCTAACCTAAATTTCTCCTCTTTCACTCTGTATCTATAACACCTTGTCCTATCACTCCAGCTCCTGAGGAAGAGTCTCTATGTCTCTATCCGGCTTCCCTGTGGGGCCCTTTCAGATAGACTCAAGAATTTAAAAAAAAAAGAAGAATGGGGGGAAAAAAACCCAGGAAAAAAGGAAAATTTAAGTTTCCACATGGCGAGACACAGGCCCGGCTCCACCCAAGCGCCCGGCCCGTGTTTCCAACCACAGCTCCGTCCGGAAGGGCCGGGACCCCACCGCGGCCTGGAGCGGGGCGCGGAGGAGACGAGATAAAAACGGGGTAAAAAGCGGATAAAAGGGGGTGAAAAGGGCGTATAAACAGGGTGGCAGCGAGGTGAAAAGCGGGTACAAGCGGGATGAAGGCAGGGTGAAGGCAAAGTGCTGCCCCGCAACCACGGGCCTGCCGGGCCGGGCGCGAGCCCCACCGCACGGCCCCATCCATCCGCGCCTCCCTGACAGCGGAGCGCCGGCCGCACGGGGGGTGAAGCGGGCAGCAGCGGTTACCTGAGGATGTTGTGCGCCTCCATGCTGCGGTTCTGGTTGCTGGAGCACACCACGGCCACGCGGAGCGGCGCGGACGGCATGGCGGGCACGGCGCTGGGGCTGCCCGTGCCTCCCTCCCTCCCGGCCGCCGCTCCACAAAATGGCGGCGGCAGCGCGGCGGGCGGGGACGGGACGTGTCAGCAGGGCCCCGGCGCAGCCAACCGCGGCACGGCGCGGGGGAGGCGGAGCGGCCGCGGCCGCCGGCAGGGGAGTGCCGGGAGAAGGGAACGGAGGGTGCTGGGCGAGGGCGAGCGGAGTGCGAGCTGCCGGCGAGCTGTGGGAAGCGTCGGGCGCAGCGTGGAGGGGGAGAGGGTTGTGCCGCCTCACCCCCGAGGGCGATAAATAATATATTAAAAAATGATCTTTTGAAATATGTGATATTGGTATATAGATAATGATATATTAATAAGGTGTTGGTGCTCAGAGGAGGAGGAGGAGCGTGAGGGCTTGTTCAGCCTGGAGGAGGCTGGCCTCATTGCAATGTAGAAGAACTTCGTGAGGGGAAGAGGAGGGACAGGCACTGATCTCTGTGGGGACCAGCGACAGGACCCCGGGAATGGCTGGAGCTGTGTCAAGAGAGGTTTAGGTTGGATTTTGGGAAATGTTCTTCCCCCGGAGGGTTCTGGCTCCTCAGGAAATGGTCCCAGCCCCCAAGAGCTCCAGGAGAGTTTGGACAATGCTCTCAGGGATGCACAGGGTGGGATTTTGGGGTGTCTGTGCAGGGTGAGGGCTTGGACTCTGATCCTTGTGGGTCTCTTCCAGCTCGGGATGTTCCATGATTGTAAAGCTTCTCCTTCACCTCATCCAGGAAAGGGAACGGGGCTGGGAAGGGAATGGAGCCCCAGGAGAGGCTGAGGGAGCTGGGAAGGGACTCAGCCTGGAGAAAAAGAGGCTCAGGGGGGACATTGTGGCTCTGCAAAACTCCTGACATGAGGGGACAGCCGGAGGGGATCGGGATTTCTGACATGAGGGGACAGCCAGAGGGGATCAGGATTTCTCCCAGGGAACAGGGACAGGAAGAGAGGGAACAGCCTCAGTTCTCTCAGGAGAGGTTCAAGGTTGAAGATTAAGAAGATTTCATCACATAAAGAGCGATGAGGCCTCCACCGCTCCCACCACCAAGCAGCCATTTCGTGCCAATCCCTGAACCCCGCTGCCTCTCCGGGCTGTGGGATTAAAAAGCCCATCAGAAAAGCGGGTTTTTAGGACAAATTTCGCTCAGTTTGGCGCTAGATGGCAGCCGAATGCCGCGGCGGGGCTGGGAGGATGCCGAGGGCAGCGTTTGGATGCAGGATTGAGTCATCCCGAGGAGGAGAATTGGGCTGGACACCCTGGATGAGCCCTGGGCCCAAGGGGATCCACAGGGAGCAGAACGCTGCCAACACTGTCAGGATTTAATTATCACGGTCCTCCTTGCTCAGTCCAGCTCAATCCCATTTTTCTCTGAGGTTTTTGTCATTTTTTCCCTTTTCCACTTTTGTCTCCTGACACTATTTCAATGGCAGGAGGAGGTAATGGAGCAGGAGAAATACAGGAGATAAACCAGGACATCAAAGGAACAAATCTATTCCCCAGCTCAGCTGAACTTCACTAGTGAGGCAGGACTCTCACATTAGTGCTTCCTAAAAATATTTTCTGCCCTCCCATTGATATTTTTTTCCCCATTATCACCACAGCACTTCCAGAAGAGCCTTTTCCTGCTCCCACCACCACCATTCTCCTCTCCTCCTCGTAAAACCTCTCCCTCTCTGTTGTATTTTCCATCATCCATTAGAGTTATACCATTATTATTATTATTATTATTTAGGGTATCCATTATTACCTGCAGAGATGTCTTACTGAAGACAGTCACGTTCCAAACTGTAAATTAAATTTCCATCTCCTCAGACTAACATCAGCATTACCACCTGAATTACCCAGTTATCTATAATCCAAACCTCTAGTAAATAAAATCAAGTATTCAGAGAATAAATAAAATAAAGTATTCAGAGAATAAATCTGTTATTTTCCCATTAATCCTGTCATAATTTTACAGTAGGCAATGGAATATTATTATGACCACTTTGGGCAGACTCACTTTGAAGTCAAGCAAGATCTTGAACCTTTAAATATTTATGGAATTTTCATTTCTTTTCATCATCCTCTTAATTTATTAAGTTCAATGCCAAGGTGGTACAAGGCTTATTGTTTATACAGCTGGTTTTCACATCTGGCAATTCATGACAAGATGAGGAACAGAACAGTGACATTGCTTGACAAAAGGTGACAGAAATGTACAAAATCAGTGGCACTCCAATGCTCCTGTGCTGAACTGGCTACAGCAAAAAAAAAACCCTGAAACCTTTAAAAGACCAACATTTGTCTTAATGTTCTTCAAAATTGCCTTTTCTTCCAGCAGTCCATCTCCTTAGGGATAAAAACCCAAAAATGAGGCATCAGTGAGGTGCTTAAATCCAGCAAGGTAATAAAGACAGAACAGCTCGGTGGAGTCAGCTGCAGGTGAGAATGAAACACAGCAGGAATAACAAACAAAGGAAAAGCTGGTGGTGAAATGCAGACCTTCAGCTCCTCAGCCACTCCCAAGGTCTCGAAGAGGGGATAATGTTCAGTACAAATACTGGGTATTATTAAGGATTCCACACATTTCCTATATTAACCCTCTACCACCAAGTTGAAACTTCACAAACGACTTTCACAAGGAAAAGCAAACAGGTCGTTCACCAGTGCTAAACATTGACACAAACAGATCACACCGAACCTGACAGTCCCTTTACAGAAAAGCCTTCCCCCTACTTTTCTTTTTTTTTTTTTTGCTTTAAGTGCACAGTTCCTAAGTGATAATAAATTAATTTTTTCATGTTACAGCAGTTAACTACATACAAACAACACGTACTAAAAACTACCTCACTAAATACCTCTCTGAAGGTAACTACTTTGTGTATATATTAAATTTCAAGTAATGCTCAGCCCAAGTTGGTTGTTTGTTTTTTTCTTTTAAAGAAAACAATCAGACAAACCAACAACCACTAATTCCAGAGACGAGAACACGAGGGAGACACACTTAAAACTACAAGGACTACAGGAACAGCTACACCAATAGAAATGGGACAAATTCTCAGCACTAAGGCACAATAGAATCAGTACTAGAGTATGGCTAAAACCTTACTTCACTACAGCATCAAGTGAGGAGTTACCAGGGAGTGTTCCTACGCTCAAAACACTCGGCTACAACATCAGTGAGTTCTGTGGTCAAGAAGCTTCTACCTTAGTGCAGCTGCTTTGCTAAAGGAGGGGATTTTAGGGGGCGAGGGGGTGCTCACTTCTATCTTATAATTAAGGGTTGGTTCCTACTCGCTCAACGAAATGGAGTTTTCTTATTCAATTTATCCCTTTACCTGCACTCTTCGTGAAACTACAACACAATTCTGATGGGAGAAAAGCAGGTGTTGGATGTTGATGGTCGAAAACCCTCGACCAGAAAACCCCCGTGGTTTTTGGACAGTGGCCCCAAAATTTGTGACCACCAAAAGGCCTAATACAAAACCCGCCTAAACCACGAGATTAAGTGGGCTTTGCATCAAACACACGCTTAGCTATGGGGTTTGTGGTCCCACCAGTCAGTCCTCCTGAACTTTAAACAACTTTGCCCCTCAGGAAAAAAATCAAGCACGGCTCTAAGACCAAGAGGTTTTAGGCTTAAAATAAGGGTGCTCTGGAGAGTCTTTTCAAACAGGCCCTCGGTAAGATCTGCCGCTTGCCCTTAAAAACAGACGATTTCTGGCACTTGGGGACCTCTGCTATTGTTTTTTGATCCGCTGAGATGCCGCGAGTTCACCACGAACGCCTCCGGCCGAGAAGCCACCCCAGGAGGAAGGAGAGCTCCGAGCTCCGCTGGAAACGCGCATCCTGCAAATGTGGGCACAGCGCTGCCAGAACAGTCTGGAAAACCTCTTCCCTCGCCGGAGAGCGCCGGGCGCCGCATCACCATCATCATCATCATCACCACCATCACCACCATCCCCTCCCGCACTACGCGCGGCGCGCAGCGGCCGCCGCGTGCCCTCCGCGGGCGAGCGCGGGGCTCATGAGGTTCTCGGTGATGTAGGCCACGAGCAGGCAGATGAAGACGAGCATCACGCAGATGGATCCCCCCACGGCCGTCATGGCCACCACGATGTCGCGCATGGCCGCGGGCTCCACGCGGAACTCCACGCACTGCGCGGGCGGCGCGGGGCGCGGCGGGGCGAAGCGCGGCTGCAGGCACAGGCGGTAGCGCACGCTGCCGTGCGCCTCGGCCAGCAGGTAATCGCGACACGCGGCTCCCAGCTCCACGCTGTCGCAGGGGAAGCGCGTGTAGGTGCCGTCCCAGGAGCAGTTGAGCGCGAAGCCGCGCAGGGCGGCGGCGGGGCGAGCCGGCGGCCCCCAGTGCCGCATGCCCCACTGCAGCAGCACGCTGCCGTTCCGCAGCACGTTGGCCACCAGCGCGCCGCCCGCGGAGCGGTGGGCGCGGCACCCCCGCGCCGAGCACTGGAAGCCGCGGGCCGGCGGGCGGAAGCACAGCCGCGCCCCCGCCGCCGCCGCCGCAGCGCCATCGCCGCCCACCTTGTAGGGGCACCACGGCTCGTCGGGGTCGGGGTTGGGCTGGGCCAGCCCGAGGCACAGCAGGGCGAGCAGAGGAGGCAGCAGGCTGGGCGTGCCGGGCATGCCGGCGGCCGCGGCCGCATGGAGCCGCGGAGAGGCGCGGAGCGCGGGGCCGCTGGATGCGCGGGGCTCGGCAGCCGCCGCGGGGCCGCCAATGGAGAGGCGGTGCCGCCGTTAACTCTCGCCGGGCTGAGGAGCACCCGCCCGATGCGGCCGCTGGTGGCCGCCCGGACGCGGCTCTCGGGGATCCGCACGGCGAACGGAGCGCTGAGACCCCGCGGGGGCGGGTACGGGGGTGCTGAGACCCCGCAAGGGTCGGCACAAGGGGATGCTGAGACTCCGCAGGGGTCGGCACAAGGGGATGCTGAGATCTCCCGGGGGATGCTGAGACCCCACAGGGATGGGCACGGGGGATGCTGAGATGCCGCAAGGGGGGGATGCTCAGACAAGGGTTGGTACAGGGATGGTCAGACCCCAGGTGCGGGCACAGGGGATGCTGAGACCCCTTTAGGGTCGGCATAGGGGGATGCTCAGACCCCACAAGGGTTGGCACAGGGATGCTCAGACCCCACAGGGGTTGGTACAGGGATGCTCAGACCCCACAGGGGTTGGTACAGGGATGCTCAGATCCTCCAAGTGTCGGCACAGGGGATGTGCAGCCCCTCCGTGCCTCCCCCGGGCTCTGCTGTGCCCACTGGGGTCGTGTCCCCCAGGGCTTGGGGGGCTGCTCAGTCCTGTCTTGGTCAAGTTGCAGATTTCATCCCATACCAAAAAAAATTTATATATTCTTTAAAAATTTGTTTGTGGTTTCGATCTGGTTTTACATAGCATCCTATTTTAACTTTTATACAGAACATAAGCATTTGTTCATATTTAACCTGTAAAATACACTCATTCTCACATTACGTGGATTAAACCCCCCAAAAATGAGCCTGGGGATGGCCGAGAGGTTCCTCTGTGCCCGGGGGCTGACACCAGCAGGGCTGGGGAAGGTGACAGAGCTCCCCTTCAGCTGATGCAAACCTTGTTGGAAGAACCAGAGCTCACACGGATTTTATTTTATTTTATTTTATTTTTAACACGGTGATAACTGCACACCCAGGCTGCTTCAACCTCTTGGCTTTGGGAATTTAAATAAACTCGGCGAGGATGTACTTTAGACCCTCCCAGGAGGTCAGCTGAGAGCAGGAATAGCTCTGGGTCTTAATGCACAGCCTGAGACAGAAGGAACGAGGATATTCCTCTTCCTGCCTTGTCCCAAATTCCCTTTCCTGCATCCCCCAAATTCCTCTTCCTGCCTTGTCCCAAATTCCCTTTCCTGCATCCCCCAAATTCCTCTTCCTGCCTTGTCCCAAATTCCCTTTCCTGCATCCCCCAAATTCCTCCTCCTGCCTTGTCCCAAATTCCTCCTCCTGCCTTGTCCCAAATTCCTCCTCCTGCCTTGTCCCAAATTCCCTTTCCTGCATCCCCCAAATTCCTTCTCCTGCCTTGTCCCAAATTCCTTTTCCTGCATCCCCCAAATTCCCTTTCCTGCATCCCCCAAATTCCTCTAATTAATGTTCTCTGAACGACCTGGAGACAGGTACATGAGGGTATTGACTTGTCTAAATAGGGAAAGAAAAGAGCTCTAATGAAAAAATTATAAAAATACAGAATTAAACAAGGTTTGGAGATCCTTCGAGCTGTTAAATTGGTAAAAGTTGCTTTAAGTCCTTTTCTGAGTAGCAGGGGGAAAAAAAAAGCAACTTTTTTTTTGGTTTTGATCAGGTTTTACATAAAGTTGTGCTCCAGATTTTATAGCAAAACAGAAGCACTTGTCTATATTTAACTTGTGAAATAGAATAATTAACATATTATTTTGTTAAAAGCCTCAGAAATGTGCCTGAACACGTTGCTGTAGTTCTTCACTGTTACCTATTTAGAAACACATTGCAGTTTCCTGTGCATGCTTCCTTTAAAAACAACATTTGAATTATGTAACTTGAAAATACAACAAAAATAAGATCCCAAGGCCTATTTTTATTTCACAGCCTGAACAAAACCAAGCCCAAATCATACCTGGAAGGTGATGCTTGCATATACACAAAGTGCAATTTGCAGCAGTGTGGAATTTGTTTAAATCATTTTGCTTTCTGATGCATTGAACATAAATGTTCTGACATCAGGACACCTTTTCCTGTTGGAAATACTGGATTTTTCAAGTGTATGTTTCCTGAGGAAATCTTTAATTTACCAATATCAAGTATTCCACATCTAATTTTTCACCAGATTGAATGGGGGTGTCTGCTAGCCTATGGAAAATTGCCAGAAATCTCTTTGGATACCAAGAGGGATCAATAAAAAAATAGGATCAGCATAGAAAAGGATGCTGAAGGTGCAGTTCTGGCTTGGAGAACACTCAGATATTGGAGCAGGAAGAGGTGCTGTGCTGCTGGAGGCACTTCTTGGCAAATTTACGTGTGGAATTCAGCCAGGATGCAGAAATGGAGCTCTGACAGCCCTTCCTGAGCAATGGGAGCGTGTTCAGCGAGGGGCTGGAGCCAAACCAAGCAAGATTTTCCTCCTTCAAACTTTGTGTCCTTCTCCTGATAGCAGTGATTGTTCCAGAGCTGTCACTGCTGCCATGTCCAGGGAGGAGATTGGCACCAACCTCTGTGGCTGCTTGTGAGGAACAACTTGTGAGGGAAAACTTGTGAGGAACAACTTGTGAGGAACAACTTGTGATGGAAAACTTGTGATCGACAACTTGTGAGGAACAACTTGTGAGGGACAACTTGTGAGGAACAACTTGTGATGGAAAACTTGTGAGGAACAACTTGTGAGGAACAACTTGTGAGGGACAACTTGTGAGGGACAACTTGTGAGGGACAACTTGTGATCAACAACTTGTGAGGAACAACTTGTGAGGAACAACTTGTGATGGACAACTTGTGATCAACAACTTGTGAGGGACAACTTGTGATCAACAACTTGTGAGGAACAACTTGTGAGGAACAACTTGTGAGGGACAACTTGTGAGGGACAACTTGTGAGGGACAACTTGTGATCAACAACTTGTGAGGAACAACTTGTGAGGAACAACTTGTGAGGGACAACTTGTGAGGAGCAACTTGTGAGGGACAACTTGTGATCAACAACTTGTGAGGAACAACTTGTGAGGGACAACTTGTGAGGAACAACTTGTGATGGAAAACTTGTGAGGAACAACTTGTGAGGGACAACTTGTGAGGGACAACTTGTGAGGAACAACTTGTGAGGAACAACTTGTGAGGAACAACTTGTGAGGAACAACTTGTGAGGGACAACTTGTGAGGAGCAACTTGTGAGGGACAACTTGTGAGGAACAACTTGTGAGGAACAACTTGGGATAACAACTTGTGAGGAACAACTTGTGAGGGACAACTTGTGAAGAACAACTTGTGAGGAGCAACTTGTGAGGAACAACTTGTGAGGAGCAACTTGTGAGGAACAATTTGTGATGGAAAACTTGTGAGGAACAACTTGTGAGGGACAACTTGTGAGGAACAACTTGTGAGGAACAACTTGTGATGAACAACTTGTGAGGGACAACTTGTGAGGGACAACTTGTGAGGGACAACTTGTGAGGAACAACTTGTGAGGAACAACTTGGGATAACAACTTGTGAGGAGCAACTTGTGAGGAACAACTCACCCTGAGTTCTGCTGGGAGATCCAAGGGTCTAGAGTGTGCTGCAGGGAGGGAAAATGGTTGGTACAGCAGTGAAGGCCCTGAACCCATCAAAAAAATTATAAAGCTATGGGTTAACTACACTTCTGCACTTTTTTTGGCCTTGCACTGTGGCTGAGCAAAAATTCAATCATTTTTGCAGAGCCAAGCAGGCCCCCGTGCTTTGGCCTGGTCGGCCTGGCTGTGCTGGCTCCCTGAATCCCTTTTTCATTGTTTGCTCTGGTATCAATCCATCTGTTTCCTGAACTTGTTCTGTGCAGTAAAACCCAGCCTGGGCTTTCTCCTGGCAATGCTTCTGCATTCTGCTGCTCAGACTAAACCCTGTGATGTGCCCGAGCTGAGAAGCCCCAGCAGGATCCCAGATTGCTTCAGAGCCTCCAGACAAACCCAGCACCACAGGCTTTGGCCTTTCTGCTTCTCCTCCACTGGATTTATTGTCTCTTCTCAAGGAAACACTGAAATAGTATCAAAACTCGCTGTGGGCCAGGCAATGAAGCACTGACAACCTCCAGCCTCACGATTTATGCAGCACTCTGCTAATTTTAGTCTCAGATATGGCCAGGGCAGACGGTCCCCAGGGCAGAGATGTTTGCTCTCAGCTGAGGGCAGCACATGACATATGGTTCCTAAAGCATCCTCCGAGCTGGGAGCTTTGCATTCAGTTGAGTTGCTACGCTTCCCTCCAAGCCATGACTTTGAGGATTACTCACCCTAGACATGCAAACACAGAGAATCTGCCTCCTAATTTAGATTTTTTTTCCCTGCAGCCTGAATCCATGAGCAGCTTCACCCCCACCGGGCTTCTATTTGCAGTGCTTGATTCACTCCCAGTCAGGGCTGAACCTGGCAGAGCCAGGGAGGGAGAGCTGAGCTGAACACAGCTGGGGTGCTGGAACCCTGGCTGCTGGGAGTTTGAAACTTTCTGTTTAAAATGAAAACTTCCTGTGCTGACAGGCACAGAAAACTGCATTCGACCTGAGGCTGTGGAGAAGAGTTCCAAAATGGAGTGACAGAACTGGGATTGTGGGTGTGGAGCTGGTTAGAAGTGGAAAACTTAAAAGGGTTTGGGGATCACAGGGTGGAAAACTTAAGAGTTTGGGGGTTTAGGATATAGAAATAAATATGAAGCAAGATGGAGGTTTTAGGGCAGAGACAGGTTGTTCTTCTTTACCTTTTTGTCCTTCTCCATGGGTTTGGGTGGTTTTGTGTAATTGGACAGAAAAGTCCACATTGAGGATTTCGAGGGATCAGTTATTGGGTTAAAAGGAAAAATAATTGAGGTGTCATTTCTTAATTGGATAGTTTATCCTTAAAAGGCCTTGTAACAAGAGATAGTTGTGCCATTTTGTGCATCT